GGCTTAGATATGGGTTCCATCAGCCTTCAGAGGCAGCTAAGCCAGTAGGCACAATATTCTGTGTCTATTTTCTATGCATATCATGACATAAAATAGTTTAGAAAGTGCTTCTATATGGAAGCAATTTGAAGGTGTTTTTTGTTATTTGCTGCCATTTTTTTAAAAGAAGTGATCGAGATTTTTCAAAAGCACAATGAATTGAATCAATAGGCTAAATTTGAATTAGTTTAAAACACTGTATGGTCATTCATTTCTTATCAGACTACCAAAATGGCATTAACGAAGTATATATAATAACATTATAAATGTTTATCATGTGATGGATGTTAAGTAGAAAAAAGCAGAGTATAAAGTTATAAATGAATTATAATTGTAAAACACAAAGATAGTTAATAACAGCTGTCCTTAATTAGTTTAGACTGTGATTTTTAAAATCTCTTACTATATTAAAGTGAAAACAAACATTTAATAATAGACATAATTATAAATAATACACTGGCTGTTGTTTTATTTTTTCCTCTCTTTATGACCGTAATCTAGGAATATAACTGTGGCATATGCAAATCACCTTATTATAGTACAACTTTTACATGAAAGATTTATATGATCAACTATTATAATTTACAAGCTAAGTTCACACACACACACACACATATCAGTATGTATGTTTTGTATTCAGAGAAAGAGTTCATTTCCTTATAACTGATGAGTACAATATTTAGTAATTAAGACATCAATGATAATAAAACTGAATCCCTCTTCTGGGTATCTACCCCCAAAACTTAAAAACACTTATTCATAAAGATATATGTAACCCTATGTTCACTGCAGCATTTAACCAATGACTGGACAAGGAAGATGTGATACATATATACACAATGGTATACTACTTAACTATTTCTGACAATATGAACAGATCTCAAGAGTATCATGTTAAATGAAATAAGTCAGATGGAAAAGGACAAAAACCATATGCTTTCACTCATATCTAAGATACAGAACAGAAAGCCACAGACAAAGGAACAAACAAAACGAACACTCATAGACGCAGACAACAGTTTGTGGTTACTAGAGGGAAAGGAAATGGGGAGAGGAGGAAAAGAGTAAAAGAGATCAAATATATGGTGACACAAGGACACTATACTTTGGGTGGGATGCACACAATGTAATATATAGATGATGTATTTTGGAATTTTACACATGAAACTTATAATATTATGAAATAATGATACCCCAATAAATGCAATACAAATACAGGGTCTGGCAGAAGTAATGCCTTTTCGAGTGTGGTTGGTAGGGTAATAATATGGGTGTAATAAATTAGAGTTTTAATTTGAACATTTGGCCTAAAATGCCATATGGTGTGTTTGAGTGTGATATTGTTATGTTACAGAATTACATGCTTATGATTTTGTGATAAAAGATTTTATAATAAAAAGAGGCATAATTTGTGCCAGACCTTGTATTTTATTTCAGAAATAGTCTGCATTCATGTATCAGAAATACTTGTAGTGAAGTAAAACATTTACTTTTTCTATTTGATATTTCTGGATGATTATGTTTTTTTCAAGACAAAGTGTAAATATGGAGATAGGTCTCACCACCTAAACAGTGGTATATCACGGTAAATATCACAACTTACTCTTAGGACTGAACAGTGAATATAACCATTGAGTTATACATCACTCTCTTCACTAAACTACAAACTCCTTCATGTTAGAAAATAGTTTCCTATTTGGTATGTGCATTGTAAAGCACAATGCCTGACACATCGTAAGTACATTTCTGTTTATTAAATGGATGAGTACATATTGTCAAAGGAAAATGTGTGCCTTGCATCACATATGCTACTTGCTGCTCTAAAAAAAGGTTTAATGATCCTCAGCTTTGATCTGATGCTGTCTCTTCTGACGTCTTTGTGATTATAACTTCATATTTAGAAAGAGAAGCCCTCAGTGGATAATTGGCAGTAATTCTGAGAAGTTTAAACATGCCATAAAGGTAAAGTTTCTGTCAAGAATAGTTTTCTTCTTAGAAAATACATCTCATGAGACAGGCTATGGGTGCATGTCCTGCCGCAGGGAGTTTTGAGAAGCATTTCCCTCAAATAGTTCTCTCAAGTCAATCTTCCTGGACCAACCACTCAAGTTGAACGCTGGGTATGTTTTTCTAAAAGGGATGATTTGCACATTTTGTGGAAGCATTTGGCTGCTGAAGCCAGATAATGGTAACATTGTTAATTGTTTCCCACAGTTGAACTTCTGAATGTCTCCACTGAATTGATCTTTACGGTGAGCCCTACTTTTTTTTTTTGTTTTTACCAAAATAGGCATAGTCAGTGAGGCAATACCAACAAAACTTTCACATGGATAAATAATATGATCATTTTAGTTGGGCTTTAGGAAATATTAATATTACCTTTAATGAATTTTACAAAATCAAGGGGACCTTTAAAAAATAAAGCTTACACAGTAGAGCCAAAACAGTACCTTAGTTCTAAATGGTATAAATTTTGTGATCTATGTAAAAATATAAAGATATTAACAGAATTATAAAGGCATTTTGGAGCAATTACAGCCTTATCTTAATTCCTACAATGTTGGCAAACCTTATAAATTCCTATAATAAAAAGTGAAGGCACGATGTTTTCAAGGGGAAAAAAATCCAATACAAAGAGACAAAAACATTAACCGAAATAGATGTTTAAACTAGTTAGTTCAACTAAAAAGCTTTCCCTAAGGGGTAATTTACAATTTACCTTTTCTGAGTGACAGGACATCTAATTTAAAAAATGCTGTCAACTTCAGAAACCTTCAGCTATGAATTATTATAAAGCTATAAAATGCTAACCCTGTTAAAGGCATGATGATACCTGCCTTGATTTCTATATATGTGTTTTTGTACTTATGTATGTATTTACTTATTTGGCTATTTTGAAGAATAAATTATCAGTTATATTATCATTCTCTCTAGAATTGAATCAATGGTTTTGGATTGTTTTCATCAAACTCTTCCTATTTTCTAGATAATTATCAATACTAAGGAATGTGGGTTACACATTCATTTGGATTTAGCATTAATTAAACAGAACAGTTCAAACTGATTTTACTTTTTATATTCAAGTATAAATATATAATAGTTAATTTATAATCCTGTCAAATTCATGGTCAAATATTTTAAAACATTTATAGGTTGTGATTCCATTGCCATTCTTTAATCATAATTAAACTTTCTCTTAACTAAATGAAAATATATTTTAATACAAATATCTATGTATATTTTCCAGACTGGGTTTAATTTCATCATAAACTATCAAAGTGAGAGTAATTTGCCTACATAAGGTTAAAGAATTCTTGCACAGATAAAATAATTTTATATTATAGATATGCACTAATTTTATCTGTAAATCAAACCATATGTCAAATGCATTAGTAAATTTCTAAGTGTTTATTAAATGAATGAGCAGTAGGTTATATTTCTAATGATTACTTCTACCAACAATATCATCTACTTTCATATCTTTTTATAATTTACAAAATATTTTTACATATTGCCATCAAGTAAATCACAAAAATACCATTTTAATGGCAAGATAATGAGACTGAGAGAGAGAAGTGTTAAATCAAGACCAGGATCACTTGGTTCGTAATGAGAGAGCCAAGAGGAGAACCCAAGCCTTCCAGCCCTTGTTCAGGGTCATATTTTTCATACTGACTGATTCTCTACCAACTTAAAGAACTGTCACCACATCTGTTTTCTAAATGTCTAAATCTGAATTTCAGTGAGTTTATTTTCTTACTGTCCTTAGTTGAAACATGTGAAAGTGAACCCATAAGTGCCCAGAATTCATGAGATGTACACACAGTTAGTTATCTGTAAGAAGTCAAGAGCAAAATGAGGATATACTAATTCATAATCACTTTCTATTACTCATCAATTTTAAGTCTGTGACTAGTCTCAACACTGAGTAGAGAGAATAGAATTTATGCAAGAACATTAATCAATGAATTTGTCTAAAGTTCAACAGAGAAACAGAAGTAGACCAAAGGATGCTTGAAGTTAAAAGACCTTTGACTTTTTTAGTACTGGAAAAAATTTTCATCTTCACAGATTATCAAGACAAAAAAGTATTTTTTATTTCTTTTGCTTTTAGGTTACTACAAAACTAATTAATCAAACTCTACCCCTGAACCATTTACTGATAAATTTTGTTTATTTAACCCTTTAGTTTTGCTGTATGATATCAAATACTAAATTATTTTTGCTTAAATTACTTCATTGGTGGAAAGATGAGAGGATTATATAGATTACAAATTTTAATAAGTAACACATTTTTTGCAGAAAAAGCCAATCTTAAATTACTGTAAATATTTGTATAAAAAATAAATCTGTATTTTAAAGCAAATTATTCTAGTAGAGAAACTTGTATTTTATTACAGTAAACTGATAATTAATGGTATGTGCACTATCTCATACATTCTGGAAACAGTGCTGCCCAAGTTCAATGTAAAGCAATGATGTAGTCACACAGGGAAATATCTTCCAGTCATTATTTTTCATACAACTTCACAAACAACTATTGGATGCAACAACCATTCATTCAGAAAGTATTTTCAGTGGGAGAAATAATGTATTTACATTTAATGTTTTAATATTGGATTTTAAACTATGTAATTTGTTGTATATAATGTGTACTTTTTTTGCTCAAATTTTTGAGAGAAAAATAAGGATGTGCATTATACATGGCTATAATGATTACATACCATGGGTATACTAATGGGTATAATAATCGCATGTATAACATACACAAAAACATGGGAGCACATTATACACAGCAAAATACAGTAATTACCTTGAATCATTTGCTTCTTTTTCCTTAGTTTCTTCTAGTCACATTGATGGACTTTGTAAAGTTTAACCAAATATTTGATCTTATTTCTGTTCAAAATCATTTTTTAAATCAAAATTAAGGCCAAAGTGGGGGAAAAAATGCCACTTACTTTGCTTTAGCTTCTGCATCCTCATATGCTTTATTAGAGACATCATCCAATCCTCCGATCAAATGCTTGAAAGATCTGTTAAAGGAAAAACACATGAATAGGATAAATCCTCCATGAAGCTGTAACAAGGACAACCTAGTAATGATATATTGAAACAATCTAAAAGGATCCAAACTGAAATGAGTTCACACACTTAGTCTATTAGGTAATGATATAAACTCTTCAGTCATGTTCACTTCTGTAGCTCTCACCACTAAGAACCATGTCTGGCAAAAGCAGATATGCAAAGAAGTGGGCGAAATAAAGTCTGTGGCCCACTAACTGATGTAGATCACAAAGCTAATTATAATTGTGAAATAACAATACCTACTAATTATTGAATGACTACTGTATTCCAGGTACTACTATTCTTTTAATTCTCATGAATGTATATTAATTCCAAGTCTCAAATAAAATATAAAAGATAAACATCATTAACTCTACTTAACAAAACAGTAAAATAATCTTCAAATGCAAAATAAAGAAGATAAGGAACCAACTAACATGAAGGAATTATAGAAAAATCAACTTATTAAGGAGCAGTGAAGAAACTGACTTTAGCATAAACCAGGGAGAATAATGTATCTGCTTAAACCAAGTCTTTTCAATATTCTATTATGTCTATAGAAGTGTATTCATCCACTTTGTATAGTGAAGTCTCAACTCATATACCTGTAAAATATCATAGAGTCAAGACAAAATATATACGCTCACACACAGGAATCACTCTCAAAAATTACTGAATGCAACCACATACAGTAACTCTAACACACACTACATTTTGGGAACCACAGAACTACAATGAATGAAGAAACAAAAGGAGAGTTTATGTTCAAAATTCCAAGTGTTTACATAAATCAGAGCTCTCACTCCCATGGTTCTTATATGCCTGGCATTGGTCTATGCACTTTAAATTAGTAACAAATACTTTAATAGTTACAGAGACCCTATGATTTAGTATTGTTGTCTCTATTTGATAGATGACAATACTAAGGATTGAGAGATTAAGAAAGTGACCTAAAGTCACAGAGCCAAAAGATTGATAGGGAAGGAACAGCCATTCTCCTTCATACTCTGAAACCTATACCGCCACTCTGATCTAATCGCTATGTCTTGAAGATAACTATCAAATCTCCAGCAATATTTGAGGTACATGTGGAAAATTTTAAAGTGCTGAAAGAAACTGCATTTTATTTTAAGCCTCTTTTATCTTAATGCATACAGATGGCTTTGTGTGTTGTATTAAACAACAAAATATAATGCTTAGGTACTGAAACATAGTAGGTACTTGCTGATTTAAATTTAGATATTGCTTAATCACTTTCACATAAACTTAAAAAGAAAACCCTATAAAGAGGAACCTGACACTCTGCTTAGGGCTGACTTGGGGCGGAGGAGTAACTTTTATTTCAGAAACTTAAGTAATGATCTCATCTGTGGGACAGTGTAACTAATGGTGGCTAAGTATGCTAATTATTTCTGATACAAAAGTAAAATGACTAGATGGAGGCCCAAAGAATCAAAAATCCTATTTTAGAGTATAAAGCTTTCTGTAATGAATTGTGTTAATGAATACCAAATGAATGAGCAATAGGCAGCAGTTCTTATAAATATTTTAAAAATATACAATGATAAAAATAAATGGTAAATATAATCCCCATGATTGAAAATGTTTAAATATTATTTTGCAATTGTTCTTTATATGGTAAATTTTTCCACCTTCCCATAGAATGTCTTGGTCATTATTTAGAGAAAGCCTGCTTTCTGCTTTTAGAGAAATTTTCTAAGGCCAGATGGCTTATGTTATAAAGTAAAATACAATATTTCTTTTACTATAAAGATGTTAATATCCTGTTTTTTCCATTTTTTAATAGATAATATAGAATTTAAGCACAGAGAGTTAATGTTACTTGTCCGAGATGACTGCAATTTAACAGCATATTCAGAATTATAATTCATTTTCCCTAATACTCACTGCTGTCCTTTACAATACTTAGATATTTTTAATACAGTCAAATCCAAAATATTGTGAAAAGGCATTGACAGAGAGAAACCAAAAAGAGACAACCACTAAAACTTAACTTTTCAAATACATTCAGATATATTAACAGAATGGGTTCTTAGACCTTTAAAACTCAGTCATTTTGAGAGTTTAAATAGTTTCTAAAAAAAACCACACCCCAAAAGCACAAAATTAAAAAACCAAGGGGGAAAAAAAAACCACAAAAAAAGGAGAAAAAAAAGAAAAAAAAAAAAAAAAAAAAAAAAAAAAAAAAAAAAAAAAAAAAAAAAGAAAAAAAAAAAAACAAAAAAAAAAGGGGGAAAAAATGCCCAGTCTTTCTCCTAGTATCTATTTGAGCTAAAGTCATCTGAAGCAGAACAGTATATTATCAAGGAATTAGAGAGTGAATTGATCACAAATTTCATAAAGATGAAGAATTTTTAACTTAAAAAAACCTAGTCATCTCACTAGGCTCTGTTAAAGCCATGCAGGTCACATTTTAAAAATACAGGTTGAGATTTTTCTTAGCAAGTACACAAATGAGAAAGCTTACATTTGGCAAAGCGATACAGTTTCAAAAATAGGAACAATATAATAACAACAAAGAGGTTAAAGGTAAGTTGAACCTAATTGGGAAAAAATTTTTTTGATCTGCTAATGTGCTGTTTATATTCATTTTTAGTGAATCTGATGTCAAATTATAAGCATCACATTTAAAAGAATGAACAAAGGAAGCATTTGAATTATTAATTATACAAATGTCTTTTTAAGTGTCCTCAATTTACAATATAAATTTTCTATGTGGTGCTAATGATCCAATATTTATTAATTTTTTTATTACTAGATAAAACATAAAGAAAATGACATGTACTTACAAAAGGTCCCTATCTTGATATGATAGAAAATTATTTTTGAAATAATTTTGCTCTAATTGAGGAAAATGGCTTTTTTTTTAATTGAATTTATTGGGGTGGCATTGGTTCTCAAAACCCTGCACGTTTCAAATGTACAACTCAATGAACCATCATCTGAACACTGCACCGTGCACCCGTCACCCCAAGCAAAGTCTGTTTCTGTCCCCATCCCTCCCTCTTTTGCCCATCTCCACCTGCCTTCCGTTCCCTTTCCTTCTGGCTATCACCACACTGTGGACTGTGTCTGTGTGTTTTGTGTATGTGTATATATATATATATATATATTTTTTTTTTTGGCTAATCCCTTCACCTTCTTTTATCCAGTCTCCTAACCCCACTCCCCTCTGACAGCTGTCAGTCTGTTCCATGTATCTATGTTTCTGCTTCTATTTTGTTTGTCAGTTTATTTTGTTCATTAGATTCCACATACAAGTGAGATCATATGGTACTTGTCTTTCTCTGACTGGCTTATTCTACTTAGCATAGTCATCTCCAGATCCATGCATGCTGTCTCAAAAGCTAAGATTTCCTTCTTTTTTGTGGCTGCATAGTATTCTACTCTATAAATGTACAATAGTCTTTTATCCACTAATCTATTGATAGGCACTTGGACCATTTCCAGATCTTGGCTATTATGTAAATAGTGCAAACAGTGCTGCAATGAACATAGGGGTCCAAATACTCTTTTGAATTAATGTTTTGGGTTTATTAGGATATGTTTCCAGAAGTGGGATGGCTGAGTCAAAAGGTAGTTTGAGTTTTAATCTTTTGAGGAAACTCCATACTGCTTTCCACAGTGGCTGCACAAATCTGCATTCCCACCAAGAGTGCATGAGGGTTCCCTTTTCTCTACATCCTTTCCAACACTTGTTTGTTGATTTATTGATGGTAGCCATTCTGGAAGGTATGGGGTTATATCTCATTGTGGTTTTAATTTGCATTCTCTGATTATCCATCTGTATGTCTTCTTTGGAGAAATGTTTATTCTGGTCCTTTGCCCATTTTTTAATTGGATTGTTTGTCTTCCCAGTATTGAGTTGTGTAAGTATCTCATATAGTTTGGAAATGAACCCCTTGTCAGTTGTATCGTCAGTGATATGTTCTCCCATTCAGTCGGTTCCCTCTTCATCTTGTTGATGGTTTTTGTTTTTGTTGTGCAGAAGCTTTTTAGTTTGATGTTGTCCCATTTGTTTATTTTTTCCATTGTTTCCCTTGCCCAAGGAGATATATTGGCAAAAATATTGCTATGAAAGATGTCTGAGATTTTATTGCCTATATTTTTTCTAAGATTTTTATGGTGTTGCAACTTACATTTAGGCCTTTTATCCATTTGGAGTTGTAAGCTGGTGGTCTAGTTTCATTTTATTTTTTCTGCATGTATCTGTCTAATTTTCCCAACACTATTTATTAAAGAAGCTGTCTTTATTCTACTTTATGCTCTTGCCTCCTTTGTTAAATATTAATTGACCATAAAGGTATTGGTTTATTTCTGGGCTCTCTGTTCTTTTCCTTTGATCTGTATACCTATTCTTACGCCAGTATCAGGCTGTTTTTATTACAATGGCCTTGAAGTATAGTTTGATATCAGGTATTGTGATACCTCCAACTTTGTTCCTTTTTCTCAAGATTGCTGATGGTACTTAGGATTTCTTTCTGTTTTTTCTTTGGTTCCATATACATTTTTGAAATATTTGTTCTAGATCTGTGAAATATGCCATTGACATTTTAATAGAAAAATGCTTTTCATTTAAAATGTAATTGATTTTCTATTATGGAAAATTTTTTAAAATGAGAGAAGAAATCACTCCTAGTTTCCTAACCACAAATAACTACTGGGGAAACATTTATGTATTTTTTTTCTGTGTAGCTTTGTTGTTGTTTATGGAGTGGTAATTATGAAGTAGCTATGATTTAATATCTTGATTTTTAACTTACTATTGAAGCTTAAATGTATATTTTTATTTTTAAGAATTCTATGAACTATAATTTCACAGCCAAATAATAGATCATTACATGTACATACATCATAGAATATCTACTTTATCTATCTAGACACGCAAACATCAACACATGCACTCACACACATACATATAGATGAAAGGGCTGTGGCAACTATGTAT